CTGATAAATTGGAAATATTGGTATTTCTAAAAAGAAATTTTCGATATATTAATGTTAAATATTATTTTAAATATTTATTTCAAATTTCATGATACATTTGTTTATTACTTATTATGTATATAGATTAATGTTATTACTTATTATATAAAAGTAATTTAACAAAAAAAATATTTTATATACTTTTAGAATTGCAATTTAATTGAATATAAACTATAACTGATCATTACAATATATTTAAATGACATAAGCTATGGTATAGTTAAATTTTAGATCTTATACTAATAAAAAGTATATTAAAAATTAAAACCATTGGTATCTTTACAGAATAAAAAATTAGATATGATATCGGATCGGTAATCGGCCGATATCAATTTAATATCGGATCGGATCGGCCTCCAGAAAGTGGTATCGACCCCTATTTATCGACGGTTAGATATTGTAAAGCAAAGTAAGATGAACAAGGAAAAAATGGATTCAAATTTTTTTTCTCTTACAAATATGAAAATTTTGGAAGAAGAAGAAAAAAGAACTTTTCAAGGGAAAGGTTGATGATTCAAAAATCCTCCAACTGGATCCGCCATTGTTAGACTCCATGGTTTAAAAATTATGAATAAATGGCTTTTGTTAGACTTCATGGTTTAAAAATTATTAATAAATGGCTTAAATTATCGGCTTGCTTTTTTTTTAGTGTCATGTCACAGTTTTCGTTTTTTGAACATGATAATTAGTTCGAAAAAAAAAAGGATGACTCAATAAATGCTTTTTATAAAAATATCATTTATTTACTCTATGACCCAGAATTTAATAAAAAATATTGAATGTTCATAAAATAGCTCAGTTATACCACCGATACCCGACGGCTTTTAGGCAAAATATTTAAAGCATACTGAGCACGCTTTTGCCTCTTCCCTACTGACACGATATTATTACTGCCAGAGTTCAGGATAGGCTAAATAACATTTTGCTCCTGAATATTCAAAAAAAACATTCATCAGTGTAGTTTAAAGAAACGGACCGAGATTGAAGCCCGATTCTCAATATCGGTCTTGTCTTTGATCTCGAAATCCGGGCCTCCAGAAATAACCGTTAGCGATCCCGTTAAATCCATTGCTAACCAACAGTCGAATGAAAGGTCTGGGTTGAACTTTGCTAATTATGCTAATAATTATTATTTTAAATAAATGATAAAAAAAATATATATTTATGCTATTAAAATATAAATAAATACAAATATTAATACGATACTTATGAACCCAGTTGAATATTTTTATGTAGACGAAGTCAACCCTATTACTTAAAATCGTTAATGATTAGATTAAATTTAAAAATACATATAATTAATATCGTGATAAGTATAATGAAAATTTTATTTTATATATTGATTGATACTAATTTATTCGTGATGTTAGTTATGTTTTTTTTCTCCATATTTTTTTAATTAAAAAATAATATAATATTTTTTTTTAAATTAAAAGAAATATATCTATATTTTTTTTGCCCCCCTAAAATAATTAAATGACGGGTATATAAATAAAAAATGATGATTTTTTATTTTTGATATCAGATTCAGAATCCTAAAATTTATCAGTATTTTGCACCTTGTTTTTTTAAAAAAAATATATGATAAATGATTAAAACCTTAGAAAATTTCATTATTATTTTGTTAACAGACTTGACAGTTGGGGTTAGAAAATCTGGTCTGGGCCGATATTTTGTTATTTTATGTGACATAGCGGCTTGATTAAGATTTTAGCCAAATTAATATTATGTATGGAGATTTTTCAGGTGGCAGGAAGGTTTGCACCTCTATATCTCGAGGCTTACATAATATTATCTTGGCTATAATCTTATAATGGGGCCTTTTTAAAAATTAACCTAAACACTATTTTCATGTAAGAAAAATTATTGCCTCTTAAGAAAGAAGCTAAATTTTCACTGATGCTAAATGATTTCACTACTTATTAATCGGCATATACTTATGAAACTTTAATGCTGGGTTTTGGGGTGGAACCGATACAATGTTTGAAGGGAGTTAAAAAAAATAACCTTATTACAATTTTATAATATTTCTATTTTTTACTTTAAAAATTTTTTACCGGTTTAGAAATGTATTTATTTAAGGATGTTTATTGGTAAGAGTTAAGCGAAATTCTCGCAATAGGATTGGTGCCGATCTTCGAGAATTCCTATTTTTGCTTATTCCTATAATGTAATTTATAATCTTTTAAAAAAAACGGAAAGGAGAACTACACCTTCCTACAAAAAAAAGGACATAAATTATATTTTTGAAATCATGATTCTTATTTATTTTAATTTTATTTTAAAAAAATGGGTTTTGATGTAATGAACTGAGTTTGCCTCCTATATATATATAGATATATATTTAAAAAAACTCGAAGTTCCGTTCGAATTAACCGTTGGGGGAGGCTTTATATTTATAAATGCTTTCGAAGATTTTTAACTCCAAATGAATGATTCCACATTCCTGGCCCCTGCCCTTTTCTTGTATGACCAAAGAAAAATACTGCCGAAGCTGATATCGAATTTGTAACTGTTGTTTAAATGTTTAAACAATGCACAAAAAAAAAAATTGTGGTTTTTTAAAATTTATCCTTTATGTAAACTTGGGAAAATTTATAATTAAAATATAAAAAAATTAGCATTTTGATTATTTTATTTAAAAAAATATATATATATCAATCAATACAATAGTTTATGTGTAGTTTATTATGTAGATTACTCACTTAAAAATCATCTTTTTTTTGTTTTGTTTTAAATTGACACGACGACTATCGCATAAAAAAAACAAATTATGATAAGTGTATAATAAATACCAGAATTTTCCTATGACAAATTTGATGGTGATGATAATACCTATAAATCGAAATTCGAAGTGATTATAATATGATCCGATAATATGGTCTTGCTTTGGCTACTAACATCATAAAATGATAATGAAAGAAAGTTTACATTACCATAACCAGAAATTAGAACCTGACGAGGGTTCGGTTCTGAGGATTTCTTTTTTTAAAAAAATGGGTTCTGTTTACGGTTCCTAGCGTTTCGTTTCCAAACTCCATTAAAGCAATCAAAAAAAAATTTAATCGATGAATGAACCCCTTAAAATAAATATATATAAAATTTAAATACTTGCACTTATGTTTGAACCCGGTTCCTGAAAATTCTAAGATGGGCTCAGGTTTTATTAAGCTCCGAAGATTCCAATTCTAAACTCTCACCATAACCTGCTATATAAACGTATTTTGAAATTGGTGCCATCTTTATAGTAGTCAAGAAATTTTAGCTCTCATTTCACCTTTTCGGCTGTCAAAGCTCCTTCAGTATTTCCTTCTACTTTATATTGCACAATTCGTCTCTATTTAAATTTATATTTCGTGATATTAGCTTTTACTTTATGGACCCTTTGAAGTTTTGGTGTGCCTACTTTTTAACCTTGTTTTCGATATAATTTTCGGGCCTTTTCATCGCTTGTCCATATCATCGCTTGTCCATATCATCGCTTGTCCATATCATCTTTGTCTGTTTACATTGATCTTTGTTTTTTTCACGGGTAATCCCTTTAAACTTCCTAATATATTTATATTTCGTATCTTATTCTTTTTGGGTCGCTTCACCATACTCATCTCCATTATATGTAAATTTTTCTCCTCTGATTCTTTATAGGATAGCTTCCAGCTTTTAATTGCCGGTAGTCGCCATTTATTTATGTCCATGGAATCATTTCACCTCCATCTATGATCATATATTTTGTTAACCCCTAATTTTTCTTTCATTCCCTCATTTTATTATGGCAAGTAAATACCATATCATGTATCGTGTGATTGATTTCGAGTTAGTCTATGAATAGAACTTCTATTATCGTTATGAACTGCATCGGGATTAGATCCCATTCCTGATGAACTCCTTCGGCTATTGGAAAGCCTGGTGATATGCTATTTGTGTTTTGGTATGGTATGGTTCTACCATAGAACTTCTATTATCGTTATGAACTGCATCGGGATTAGATCTCATTCCTGATGAACTCCTTCGGCTATTGGAAAGCCTGGTGATATGCTATTTGTGTTTTGGTATGGTATGGTTCTACCATCCGGTATAATTCTAGTATATTTTCCAGGTATCTTTGGCGTTAGGCTCACCACATAAGATTTCTTAGAATGTTTTTTTTCTAACTCATTTATCTAATTGCGCCAGTGGTCGATCCTTCAGGCATTAAGCCAAACTGGATTCTTTATTTCGACCATATCTCTTCCATTTTTTTTCGAAGAGGTATTGACAGTGGGACATTAGTTTGAGGTTTCTGTAATTTTGACAATTATGTGGATCAACTTTATTTTGAGATAGGAACTTAATAGCTATGCCTCCATTTTTATATAATTTCTTCACTTTCCAGCATTTTAGAGAGTATTCTTTCATTAACTAGTGACTTAAGACTTAAAACTATCAGGGCCTCTTGCTTTACCCTTTTTTTCATGCGTTTTAGGCCACATATTATTTCTTGCTTTGTTATAGATTCAATTGCGTTCTTTTTATATTGAGTGTTTATCTAGATGCTAAAAATATACTTTTATCTCTTTATTTTACCCCTTTATTATCAATTTTCCTTTATTTATTTTTTAAATAATCATAAATTTCAAAGTCCTCACTTTTAATACGACCAATATTTTATTTATTTATAAAAAAAAAAATTTCATTGACTTTTTTTCCTTTCTTCTTTATCATTAGATTTATATCAAATTATTTCTATTTTTTTTTTCGTATCGATTTTATCAATTTTTAGTTGTATTTACTTGTACTAATATTATTTTAAAAAGTATAATTTTTTGGATATTTTTTTTTTGCAAAATTAGTTTTGACCGTTAATTTATGAAGATGGTTGAAGCTTTTAAGTAACTTCATCAATCATATGAAGCATTTTTATAATAAATAAGTATATTTTCATGGATTTATTAATGCTTTATTTTTTAATATTTTATTATTAGACATGAGGAATTTTCAAAACTTGCGACTCCTCCTAAAGAGTTGATCATCTCACTTAGCCCCGACACAAAAATATATTATATTATTTCTTACGAGATTAAATTTTTTTCGTTAAAAACATATTCGAATTCTTAGCTGATTCATTGGAATATAAATATAATTTTTAGACATTATAAATTTAGTAACTGTTGACTTTCGTCCAAGTATTTAATATATTTAATTTAAAAAAAAACATTTTCGGCAGAATATTCTTCGAATATTTCTTGACGCGGAAAGAGGCGAATTTTCTCAAAAACATGTTTTCCCTAACAATTTGTGTTGAATTCGGGATCAAAATTATTTATTTCCTAAATTCTTAATTTTTTGCATTTATTTTAAAAAATAAAAATTATGCTTTGTTAAATAGGCGATCATTTTTTTTTAAAAAAAAATCAATAAAATAGTATTACTTCTTCTCCTCCCCCCAACCATATTCAAAATATCGGATATCCTAACATTTTATATATATTTACGACTTACTCCCCCCTTCTATCCTGAAGAGGTTATTGTGCCATATGAAGAATCATTTCGACCTCATTTTAAGCTAAAACAAAACTTTACTTTTTCGCGCATTCCTCGCTCCCAACCGCCGTAAATTTCGATATCATTATCATTTTAATCCTTCTATAAATCATGGCACCCCACCAAAAACAATCCACCAATCAACCATACGCCACTCCAATCCCCGGCTCGGGTTTTGGGGTCACCGTGGCTCAATTGAGACAGCTAATGGAGGTCAGGGGAGAGGAGGGTATCCAACGATTGGACTCCGAGTTCGGTGGTGTACAGGAATTGTGCAAGAAACTTAAAACCTCACCCACAGAAGGTAAATAACGATTCTTACTGGCATATATTTTTTTTATATTTATAATTTCGGGCGCCAATGTATAATTTTTAAGAAAATTTATAAAATAATTAACGCATTGAATTTAAAGGGATATCAATATTTTATATCTTTTATCACAGGGTTGTCCGAATCTCCGACGGAAGACGAGATCAGAGTTAAGGCATTTGGCCGCAACGAAATACCCCCCAAACCGGCCAAAAGTTTTTTGCGTTTGATATGGGAAGCTCTGCAAGACGTCACTCTGATAATACTACAAATTTCGGCCCTTATATCGCTCGGCCTCTCCTTTTACAAACCGCCAATTGATTCGCAAAGTATGGTTTTGTTTATAACGCCATTATTTTTTTTTATTGTAACATGGATGCTCCTAGTTTTGTTGGCCGCTTTATTTTGCGTCATTCCAGTCATCCCGCGGGTTGACAAATCTTTAATTAACAAATTATGAGTGTGCCCTACATAATATGTTGTATTCAGTAAAATCTACTTTTAATAATGTTTCTATGGATTTATAAGAACGATATTGATTTGGTCTTGTTTTTAGTAGTAACATAATCAACCCTAAATACTTTTAAAAATGATGCTATTATTTCAATTCAATTTTAATAAATATTTTTAGGAGATTCTTGAAAAAAATATACATTATGTTGTAATGATGTAAATAATAAGTTTAAAGATCATGATTTATTTGGTGCAAAAATATATAATTTTTAATTTAGGAAGACAAGCATTTTTTGATTATTTAAAATTAAAACTTGAAAAAAATTTTGAAAAATTGGAAAAAAAATCATAAATTATTTTTAAATTTTTGATTACATTTTGTGAAAGATTTTTTATTCTTGAAAATTTCAAAATATTTTGGCATTTTTAGGTAAAATATTTTGAAGACTTATTTTCAAACTCTGTTTAAAATTATTTGCTATTTGTATAATAAATTTTCTTCTAATATATTGGATCAAATTTTAAAAAAACATCGAGGTTTATGTTATAAATTTAAAACATCATTTAACAAAAATCACCTTTCTGGGATTTAGCAATCAAAATAGAGGTCATATAAACTCCACCTTGGCATTCGCATATTTTTTCGCTTGACCTCTGAAGGATATAATGGAATAACACTTTTAATGTTTTTATTTATAAAAATTCTGGGATATTTTCAGATCGGTCAATGTTTAGCACTATCTAAAATTTTGTAAAATTACCTCTTTATTACCATTTGTGACATATGGATTACAATTATTCATAGTAACGCGTTGCAAGATAACGTATTAGAGTGACGCGTTACTTTTTACGCTACTCCTTAGTCAATATTTTATTAATTTTTTAGGTCAAAATTTGAAGAAAAAAAATGTGATTTCATCTTGAGAGAATTTTTGAACTCTCTTAATTTTTATAAATATTATTTTTTATATAAATTAAAAAATAAGTTTATGACAAAATTTTATGAAACTCATTCTGGTATGTTCTTTCTCTTCACATGCTGGTATATATTTACAGTCAAATCAGATATGTATCAAATATAAAAATTGCCTTACACTTTTAGGCAGGATAATATGAATTGGGTACCACTTACAAATTATTAAAATTTAACTTAATCCTTATATCATCCTTATCAGAGACCTTCATGGGCCTAATTTTTTGACCAAGCCCGGCCCAGGCCTGCAGTAAAAAATTTTTTGGCCTAAACCCGGCCCGGCCCATATTTAATATTAAAAAAAATTCCCAAGCCCATATACAAAAATTTTATTTTTTTTATTTAATGAAAAATAAATATTTAAATATATTTAGGCAATCATTTTGTTTACAATACTGAAATTTATTATTATTAGAAGAAAAAAGGCAATATTTCATTAAATTAGCAACTATTTTAAATAATTTAATTTTAATAATTTTAGGCCCAAGCCCATTAAAAAAATTTAAAAACCCAGGCCCGGCCCAGACCCGCTAGTAAATATGATATTTAGCCGGATATGGGCATGCTGGCCGACCCGGCCCATGAAGGTCTCTGATCCTTTATATATATTTTTAATCATTCCAATTTACTCAAGTTATATAATGTTTATATTTGATTTTTTAAAATATTTTTGAAAAAATTGTATATATTTTATTTCATATAGATAAAAAATAAAAAAAATTTCTGTAACCAAAAGAAAAAAAAATTACCTTTTCGCGCCGGAAATGGTTAAATGATTTAAAATTGAGAGATTCCATAGCCCACTACGATATATATATATAGACATAACCTTTTATCAATTTACCGATTTATATGCATCTTCATAAGTCGCGCCATGCATTTGGGGGTCTAAAATAAATTTCAGATTATAATATTCATAATTTGTCGAAAAATTAAGCTATCGAGGGAGGTTAAGTCAAATCATGCAATTATATTATTGTCGAATGGTAATTAGAAGGATGATTTTTTATTTTGACTTGTCCATCCAAAATATTTAAAATTTCATACCTTACATATAGGCGGCGATAATGGCTTTATCGACACCTTACCTATGCCTAAAATATTTTTTATGATAAAAGGACTTGCGGACCCTTCATATTTTGCTTAATCTTAGAACCCATACCTACTTTGATCAACTAGGACACCCTGGCATGATTGGTGGAAGTGTGTCAAAGATGGAAAAATCTACTCTTCCGAGGTGTTAAAACGTTTAAAGAAAAGATTGAAATGCTAAAACCATTATAAATAAAATAGGTGTAAACCTATGTGTCACCGTTATTATTATGGCTAAAATAATAAGAAAAATTTTGATTAGCTTTTGATATACTCGTCAGAGGAAGTCCCTAAAGGAATTTAGAAATCATGTAGTAAAGGGTTATATTATATTTCAACCCTTTTTTGCTAGGCTTGCATCTTGATTTTAATTGCATTTTTAATTAATTTGGTCATTGTTTGGTAAATTTCTATATAGTATATTGTTGACACGGTAACCGTTTAACATTAATCCATTTGCCATGCCCAGCGGAACGCAAAATCCAACAATTCATGATTCAAATACATTTTTCTTTGTAATTATGTAATAGAAAAAAAAGAAAAAAGTAGTTTTAGCATAATATTATACTTCAAAAGAAATGGCCATGATTATATTTATAGGAGATAAAGATTTCCATGATTGTACATAATTGATTTATTTTTTTATTTATAATATAATGGTTTAATTTCAAATAAAGAAAGATTTACCATTTTTGATTTTTACAAATTTGGCTTGCTCAAATTTAATATCTAATCAAATTACTTTGTAAACTCGTTATGTTAATCGCGGGAAAAGTTGAAGGCGGAGAAGAATATATGACACGTACCTTTTTTTTGTATCTTTCATTAACGCCAATCAATTTCATTTCTAATATTATTCGAATTGGTGTCACGATCTCATTTTTTTTCTCTCAGGTTCCTTCATGCGCAACTGGTGCGATCTTGCCTTTATTATATTATTTAATTTTTTTTAGAAATGAAATAGGGAAATTGAAATTTTTCAAAGACGCGATAAAATATTTTATCCATGCCGGCTCGAATTTTTTGAAATGTTATGTTGTATATACATACCTTTATGCACAGAGGTTAAAATTTTAACTAGGAAGGGATTTCTAATGTTTTATCATTTTAAGTCCTCTTGTAAACTAAGTGTCGGGAACAATAGGATGGATTATTCGTTGAAATGTTATCAAATTTATTATTTTTATTGATAGAGCATCTTAGATATAAAAACTATGGTAACTCAGATTTTGATTTCTTCCTGCCACCATACAAAAATGAAAGAAGAATGAACGACAGCCGTTTTAACCTAACTTGTCGTTTAGCCTAATATTATTGCCTTTTCGATTATTGATTAAAATCGATTTAAATTGGAATTTATGTTCATCTGATATATTTAATCAACGTAAACATAATTAAATTATTGAATTTACTACAGAAACCTACAAATTTAATTAAGAATCCCCCCTTCCCATTAACATATAATTAGAAGTTGTTAATGAGTTTATCTCTCAATTTAGCACATTAAAGGAATAAAAATGTAATTATTAGAAAAGGGAAAAAATGGTATTAAAAATTGAATACCCTATTTATAATTTATGTGTAAATAGTGAGCCACGATGAAGGGGAGAGCAAAGCCGGGTGGATAGAGGGCACTGCCATACTCATATCCGTGATAGTGGTGGTTGTCGTGACGGCTTTCAACGATTGGAGCAAGGAAAAACAGTTTAGGGGTCTACAAAACAAGATCGAGCACGAACATAAAACAGCTGTCATAAGGAATTCGGAGCCCCTAGAGATACACGTACAGGACATCATGGTGGGCGATATTTGTCAAGTTAAATACGGTAAACAAAACATTTATTTTTTAAAAAAATCATACGGTCGAAATTTTTTACTGATGTTAAACATTAGCTGATTTTTTTTAAAATAAAGGCTAAGTCAAGAATTTAACTAGAAATATTATTATACTATAACCTCAAAATTTTGACCAATAGTATTTCAGACCTTTCTTCCCCATATGGGCAAAATTTCTAAGCTCGGATAAATTCCTCTTGGCTAAAATTTTGGTGATCGCCATTTTAAAAAAATCAAATAAATCGAACTTTAACAACACTCAAAATTTTAAACACCGCCCGAATTTCCCCAATCCCTCCCACAATTTTGAGTCCACCAATTTTTTTAACTCTTCTGAGATCCGGTTCGGATTATATAAAATTTTGTTATTTTACTATTATACGAATTTCCAACTGATTAATGGAGATCAGGCCTGGGCTTTTGTTATTTTCAGGCATTCCTCAGAAGCATTTTACAGCCCGGACCGAGCGCGCGGGCTCCGCCATTTTTTAATGAGTCAAATATGACTTTCGCCCAAAGTTCGATGTTTTGTCTTTGCCATCGATATTATATAATATCGTTGAAAAGTTGATGCCTCTCTTAATTAACTTTATATCTTTTTAAGGAATTTTTTTTAAAATAAAATTTTCGTATTTTAATTGCTTTTGTTCAATTATTTTTTTTAAAAAGTTGGTATTCTGCATTTTATCATGGCTTTTCCTTATTTATAAATTTTATATATAAATTCTCCACTCCAAACCATACGTGTATGTGTGTTGCACATTATATTTTAATATTTAATAATAAAAAAAAAATTTGAAGCGAAATATTAAATAAATTTCGAGAGAATAAAAATATGATATTCAACTTTTCTTAAATATCAATCAATTATGATTATTTTTCTTTTTTTTATTTCAATACATATTGTTTTTTCCAATAATTTTATTAAAAAAAATTTTTTATGTAAGTTTTTACGTTAGGATTAAGAATGAAAAACCTATTGAATATTAAGTATTTTATTTAAATTACGGGAAATTTTTAGTTTTTTTATATTCCGTTTTGTCGCTCGAAAAAATCGAAAATTTAAATCTTATAGTATAGAGCCTCCTGCTCGGTTACGGATCAGTAACAGTAAATTATAAATGTTACGGTAGTGCTGTTAAGAACCCCCGACTTGGGTCGATTTTTATAAATGGCCCGATTAAGATTTTGGCCAAATTATATATTATGTAAGCCTGAAGGTTTGGCTCATAGATGGCACAAAGATTTGCACTTCCTGTTTGTCAAATCTCCAGGGCTTACATAATATTATTTTGGCTAAGATCTTATAGTCGTTTATAATAATCGAATAAATCGAGTATTTTATACAACACTAGGGTTAAGTTTCGGGTATCAAAATTCGAAGTTACGGTTTTGGGAGCTTATAAATGTTCTCGAATAAAAATGACACCTGTCTAGTTTGGGCCCCGTTGGAAACAAGAATTTTGATCAATTTATCGAGACCTCTTACTCTCTAATAGTAGTTAATTCGAATGATTGGGACGGGGAGTTGCCCCAAACCAAAAGCACAAATTAGACAAGTTTTATTGCATAGAAAGACACGCATAAATATTGATTTTATTGGGAAAATATAATAATTTATACACTATGGCAAAATGTAATTAATATTTAAGATTTCATATGCAAAAATGTGAATAGAATAATAGAATATATAAAAAGTATTATATATTCCAGAGACCTGCAGCGGTGCTATTTCCTCGGCATGGATTTGAAAAAAAACTCGGATTTTTTTAGAAACAAATTGTCAGCCCATATTTCTTTGGAAAAAAAATTCGGTCAGGGTTTAAATTTTTTATACAAGCCTTGGTTTAAAAAAAATATATATTTATGCCTTTTCGTCATTTTACGGATCATTTTTCAGCATATATGAAATCCATACTATAATAACGTTTTCAAATTATCCCCCCCCCATTTGTCTTAAAAGGAGTGAGTTTGAATTAGACCTGTACGCCGAAGCTTCAATTGACGTCGGCAGTTTTTGCTTAGACTAAGGAATTGCATTTTTACTCATGTCAAAAGCAAATAAAATATAATAAGAAATTATATTTGGCAAGAAGATTCGTGGGGCATAAATAAGTCCTTTTTGCATTGAGTATTAATACTGCGATGGAAAAAATTCTATCGCCGGGTGTACTAATTGCAGGTAAAAAACCTTCCTAGCTAAATTAGTAAGCCTAGGAATTCTCTTTTTTTCCAAAAGTTAGTGAATCCTCCTCTGTTATACTATGTTTCCTGAATAAAATATGCCATTCTTGTTCTAGATTGCTAATGTTGTTATAATCGTTGCTTGGTAGGGAATGTTAATAGCTATTTTAGCTATATATGAACTGGATATTTGCGCATTATCTTCAACTTGAATCTCACTCTATGCATTTCTATCTTGCCCTATAAATTTAAGTGTCTAGTTAAAAATTTCAAAAATATTCTAAAACAATTTTAAGATTTCTCGAAGAAGTTTCGCTATCGAATGCTTGAAACAATTTTATTAATAAAAATATGTAAATTACTTAAAGTTCGGTATGGAAACCATTGGTCAAGCTTTTTAGCATATTTTCGTTTAGGCAAATTATGTCTGAGCAATCAGATTTATTGATTTGTATATGCGTTTCTATTTCACTGCGAAATAATAACCCGCAATTATTATCGATTCCTTTTGGAAGGAAAGAAAATCTATTGTAATCATTTTCGATTTCACCGTTATAAATCTACACACTTTGTTACATTTTCCAAAGATGCCACAAGTCCATCTGATTACATTTAAGCTACCACTACTATATTATAAAAATATAAAGGTTACAGCCTGAGACATCGAGTCTCATATTTTATGATATGTTAAAAAAAAGGTTGATTTTTTTTATGATGATAAATAATTTTTTATTTCTTAAAATCTTGATATCAATTTTTAAAATTTTCTTATCTCGCTAATAACTATTTTTTTTATTTATACTTGTTTGCCAGACGGATTAAAATAATATAAAATTGAGCGCTAACATCATGTTGTTTAGGGTGTCCTAGTTCAAAAACTGTTAAACTTGTGCTAGACAGCAGAACCAACAAGACACTGCCTAAACATTGATAAAATTTTCAATTTTTAATTTTAAGTTTGGCCAAAATTTTGCTACCTATAATTTTTCCCTTTAAAAGCACTTCGGAGGCACTAATAAATCATGAAACATTGGCATAGATTTTAGAATATTTATGAGACATGATCGATATTTAAAAGAGGTATCCACCTTATGAAAGCTTTATGCACTATTAGTAAATTTATATGGGATGTAGCCGTGAGTCTACACCAATAATTTATAATTTATTTATCCATTCATTCGGATAAAAAAATAGGACTGGCGCCTTTATCTTTAAATAATTAATTCTGTTGAGACCCATATTTACGTCTATCGTTTTATAAAGCGTCATTGGGATTTTTGGTCGCTTTTTAGATTTACGTCTATTTTTGTTTCGGTTTGTCAAAAAGTATTTATTATTTTTTAAAATTGGAAAATTTGATCATATTTTCGTTTTGACATTCAAATTTAATTCGATTTTTTAAAATTTAATTAAAAATTGGCCAACCAACATTATTTCGCTACTTTACCATGTAGATGTTACCTAATTTAATATAATTCATTAATACTTTTGTATTGGAACTTTATTTTATCGATTTTGATCCTTAAAAAATAAGTTTTTTTTAATAATAAAAAGTAGATCTGGTGGTTTTTTATGCTAGTAAAAAAAACCAAAAGCAAAACTTAATTAATATTCTTTGAGTTAATTAAATGTCCTCCTCACTTTCACAGAGTTAAAAATTTTGTCTAAATTGGACATCTAATTTTTTTTTAAAAATGAGGGCTATTTTTTTTAACGATAAAATATTTTTTAGGCGATTTATTACCTGCCGACGGAATATTACTGCAGAGCAATGATTTGAAAGTGGACGAGAGTTCCCTCACTGGCGAATCCGATCTGGTCAAAAAAGGTCCTGATACCGATCCTATGCTCCTATCTGGTAAAAAAAAATACTTTTATTTTATTTTTTAGTGCGAATGCGTAATTTTAATTACCGTACGGGAATGTAGTCTAAGAGTTCTATCTTCTCGGGTTTAACCTTTTGTTTGTAATCCCGTTCATGATTGACGTGTCAAATAATATTTTGTAGGATTTGAATCTTTTTTTTGGTTAACCTTGGCCCCTCCTCCCGACCCAATAATCATTTAAATTACTTGTTCTATTTCCGTTGAAAGAAAAGCGATAATATTTTGTCAGCCATTTTACCCTGAATTCACAGTTAGCACCAATTACTTCGTCATCACGAATTCGCGCTAACTATGAATTCAGCGCATTTTGTGCATGCAACTAGCATAATCAAGGTTGGGTTGTTGACAAGAATTTTTTTTTGTTAAAATAAAGACCATAAAAGGGTTGTTCCTAATATGTCTCCCACACATGCGCCCTGTGATATGGATTGGGTTTCACCCTACCCCTAATTTTGGCCCTCGATTAAACTGGAAACTTTGTGGTCACTTGAATTTTTAACAGAGATTCCCCGATGATACGTTTATTATCATTTCCTTTTTATAAACCTTTATCAACTGAAACCTATCCCCCTCCCCCTACTCATATGTCCATAAAACTTAGATAATAACTTCCTTCTAACACACCTTTATCAAAATATATTTCCATCAAACCTTTCATAATGTTTATGTAAATGCTAGCCAAAATTTTCATTTAATTATTTATAGAAAAAATTGTAATTTAAGTCACATTTATGCGCTTTCATACAAAAATATACCACTACTTAACATCTCATTTATTTATTTTTTTTGGCCTTTTATTTCAAATACAAAAAAAATATGAAAATATTTAGTTTTCATTTATTTTTATTTGTAAGTAAGGCAAAGGAATTTTATATTGTCTTTTTTATTATAAAAACCATTCAAAAATGTTTATATTTAAAATAAAAATACTAATACTAATATTTTTCAGAAATTCAAGGTTATATATTTTGTTTTTCCCTTTTTTCTTTTTAAAGTGGCCAAAATAAAATAGTAACTCGATAATTTTTCGGCGAAAATCAAACTTTCGCATTGAATTTCTAAAAAAAAAAAGTTAAAAGTTAGTCGAATGTAAAATAATATCACTCATAGTAATTTACTAAAGTAAAAAAAAAATGAAATAGTAATCGATTTCGTTATTACTCAATTTTGCCTTATAATTTTCTCCGGAATTTATTATCTGTTTTAAAATTTGGTCACTTTAAATTTAATTTTCGCAAATGCTTTTCAAGGGGGGAATTCAACTGGCCAATGGGATATCATTTAAAATATATATTTTAAAAAAAAATACCACCCCCGGGTTTCATACCGGATTTCAAAATCGTAATGATCCTTTTAATTCTTTAACTCCCTCTCTCGGGCCATTTCTCCATAATTTTTTTATCCCCCTCAAGGCCATTTCCAAACATAACGTTTTTCGGTTTGTATTTTTTTTTTATTAGCGATTTAAATAGCGTATATAAAATTATTACTGGAAAACATGCATTCTAAATTACACTCTCCTACTAGCATTCTTAATCATCATCATCCAAAAAAAAAGAAAAATTAAACGAATTATTTGTTTCGATAATCATCCTCAAATCAGACACATAATTTTTTTTTTATCCCCACAAAAATTGAATTTAAAATAAAAATTTTCTCTTTTATTTTTTGAGCTGTTAATAATATAATAAATATTTATGCCATTTATTTAGCCACGCGAAACGGGGGTAGAGATTTAATTTTATTTATTGATTTCCACCATTTTTTTTTCGTGTATAATCCTCCTTAACATTTTTTAATATTTTCTATAACGATTTTATGATTTTTTTTTATTTTCTTAAATCACCAAACATCGTCGAGAATTACTGTTATTATATTAGGGTTGGTTGAACCTCTTTTTTTTGCAACAAAAAAGTAAGATATATAGATACTCACTTATTACTTTTATCGCTTCGCAAAATGGCCAAATTTTTTTATATGTTTTTTTTGTTCAACACGAGGAACGTAAAAAAGGCACATTTTTTTTCTTCCTTCTTTTTCCCTAAAATAAGTTATAAATATGACATTTAAATAAAATAAGAAAAAATTCCCCCACCTCCCCTCACCAATTTTTTATGAATATAAATTGTAAATATATTTTATTATGCATCTTGTGTATTTTTGGAAAAAATGGAAATACGAATTTGTTTCCGGTGGTTCTAGAACGTTTCGAGTTCTCGGAAAACATTATTTTTGGGGAATGTTCCAGTCAATTATACGTTTTTTTTCGGAATGGATCATAAAAATATATTCTAGAGGTCTATCAACTCCTCGCAAAGCTTTTAAATTTTCCTTTGAACTTCAGGGTAGAACACACTTTTCGGAACTGCTTCCATACCTATCTAACTCGTAAGAATCAAAACCTCCGTCTACGCTCTCAGCATGTCATCCAAGATAGATTACAAAATTTTCCCCTTTTTCCAAAATAACTCCATTGGCATTGCCGACATTGAAACCACGCTTTACCTTATCATTATTATGGACCCCTTTACACGCAGCATGTTCTAAGAATGAAATTGAGCTTCCTTATCATTAGGCCTACTTTCTCACCACTACATTTTTTTTACGCACCCATTTCAAGAACCAATGGCATTGAATTTAAAATTTAGCAACACACCTTTCTTACATACATCACATGGCTAAATTGGCCTTTTTATGTGCATATCTTTAGGCATATTAAATAATTACTTGCTGGCTTAAATAAATATGACTAATAATTCTTTCTACGAGAATGGTTATAACTAAAAATTTGTTATTTTGCTCATATGATAATAATCGAATTATAATAATTTAAATCATCGATGAGACTAGCAACTTTGTTTTTTTTTGGAATATTAGATTGAAAAAAAAATTGTGATTTCATATTGATATATGCATGAAAATTACGAAATATTTACAAGATGATTTTTTTATAGAAAAAAATATTTAGAATTTATAGGTGAATAATCATAAATCTTACTTGAGCAGCATTCACAAAAAAAATTCTTTTTTTTTTGTCTTGAGCATTTCAAACTATCCATGCTATTTGCCTTGTATCATATTTTAATGTTACACTTTTTAACTCAAATCGACCTGTTTAACAACACTAGTTTAAATTAATTGGACGACAAAAAAGAAAGAGAGAGAGCCACGGCAATCATATAAAGGGCCGAAATGAAATCATTATTAGTGATGTATACGTTACTTTTTTTTGAATAAGGAAAGCGTTAAATTACAATACTTACTTAATTCTCTTATTGATTATTCGCCAAAAGATTTTTTTATATATATATCGTAACTTTTTATTGACATTATTATCGATAAATTAGGCCATAGTTAAAATTCACTCGTTCGACTCTTATTTCTTTTAACTTGCATTTTGTCAATCAAATATGCATTACAATAATAACGAATCGCGCTATTTTATGGGTATGATAACATTTTATGATCTTTATCAAATCACCCGGAATGAATGGTCAATAGAGATTTTATTTTTTTTAATAGGGACCCACGTTATGGAAGGCAACGGGAAGATGGTAGTGACAGCGGTAGGACTCAATTCTCAAACTGGTATAATATTCGCGCTCCTGGGCGCTGCTCAAATGGGAGAGGATGTTCCGCCTCCCCCTTCTACCACGCCTCAACCATCTGTACCCACTCATCTAAAAAACGGTTTATTAAAAAATATATATGTAATTGAAAATGTATGTTATGATATAAAAACTGGATTTAGATTACCAAACGGGTTTAGTATTGTTGGGTTTTATTTAGTTCACGAATTTTTTTAAGAATAATTCGAGAATTTCAATAATTCCCACGTCTATAGAATGTTTGTATTTAATTATGGAATATAATATTATGGTACCTTTTCTTTTTATAGGTAAGGTGTGGATGGAACTATAATTTTGTGGTTCAAGGAATTTTTTGTTCGATATTAGAGGAAAATTATCTTTTTATTTAATAATATTTAAAAAAATTTTTAATGGATACACAAAGGAACTCCTACCTACGGCAATTCACACTCACCCAATAGTCAAGTTTATATTTTTTGATTTAATAAGCTTAACAATCTAATCGGAATTTTCCTAACCCTTTTTATATATTTGTCGATATTTCGATGATAATTATTATAGTTACAAAAATTAGAATCCAATATTTGCATCAGAGATCTGCAGAGGTACCATTTCTACGGCCCGGCCCGGATTTATCTTCCAAAATTTTTTTTAGGCCTGGCCCGGGTTTTTCATTTTCAGGCCTGGCCCGGATTTCTTTTGAAATATATTTTTAATTTTTATAGCCAATAATGGCGATTTAAAATATACGGCCCAGTCCGTGTAATATAGCTTAGGACCGGCCTTGCAGGTATCTGAATTGCATTATTATTGAATCGAATCCGAATAATAAAAACATTAGTTTATTCATTTGATTTGTCGAATATTCGATTTTCGATAATTAAAATTCTTAAAAATATTTTTATAAATGTAAAAACCCTCTTTTTTTGAATAAATCTTTGAATATTTATTTTTTTTTTAAATTATAATTTCTTCGTGTGAAAGTAAAAGTTATAAAAAAAATATTTCATAATGAACATGTTAAAAAATACTTACAAATAATTTAAAATATTTATGAATTAATTTAAAATTTACAAATAGTTTTGAATATTTGCGGAGAATATCGAATATTCACGATAAGTTTTGAATAACGAAATTTTTTTAAATTATACGAAAAATTCGATCCAATAATGGACAAAAAATTATTCTACAAATAATAAAGCATCATTAACATTTCAATTACTTTCTTTCCTTTTTTTTAATCAAAAATATATTTCTTACATTTGCTTTAGAGTATTATTATAACAAACACCATAAGCTATATCTTCCGATTTCTTACCACTGGGCATATAAACAATCAAATTCTAAATTTTGAATTGAATAATTGTGATATTTGTACGAATCAAATGATTCTGCATTGGGTCCAGGCAGGGGCGAGTACATAACAGCGAAACTTTTATCTCAAAAATTTTACAGCAAAGTCATTTTCGCGAAACAATTTTTAATCTTTATTCGAATAACGAATAATTTGTTTTAGGCCTACTACGGTTCCGAACAAGGTAAGTCCCCTTCTCCCAACGGGGTAGATAATACCAAATCTCTCGTCACTCCTCAAGGCGCGTCCGTGGCATCAGCAGAAACCGCGCTCCCTCCTCCCGAAATGAGGCGGAAAGAACAGTCGGTACTTCAAGCGAAACTCACCAGGCTGGCTATACAGATTGGATACGTGGGTTAGTTACGATGAATTATAGATTTAAGTGTGAAGTATATATATGTCGCTTTTTTATTACTACCTAAAGGGCATACATGGTTTATAAAAAAGGTTATAATATCGCGGGTGGATATGGTTAGAATGAATGGATAAATTGATCCACAGGAAGACAATAAAGATGTCCCTCGCATAATTATGATCTTTTAATAATTTATTTTAGGTTTCGCGATCGCAGTTCTTACCGTAATTATACTAATCACGAGATTTTGCATCAAAACATATTGGCTCGAGAAAAGTCCCTGGTACATATTGATCCTATTTCATTTCATAATGCACTTGATTTTTCGTTTTTTTCGCAAGGTTTTTATTTTAAAAAAAAACGGTGAGATGTGTGAAAATAAAATTATTTCGCCTTAACCCCTCCCCCTCCCTATAAAAAAAATCAAGTTATAAAATTAAAGTTTATTGCTACTAAATTATTTAAAAAGGTTATCATTGATTGACACTTTTTCCCAAAAAAAAATCATTTTTATCAATCATCTATCCTTCTATTCATTCTGAAATAGTGTTGTTAAATGGCTCAATTTGAATCGATTGTTGAAAACGGCTAACTCAATATTCTAGCTATTAAAATATGGCCTAAGCCTCGAGATTTCCCGAATAGATGTCCAAACCTTTCTGTCATCTATGTGAAAAATCTTCCAAGAAAGAAAGAAAGACTTTCTTTCTTGCTTGCATAATATTTTTCTGGATAAAATATTGAGTCCGCCGTTTTTAAAAATGGGCTCATTATCGAGCCGTTTAACAACACTAATTCTGAAATTTTGTTAAATTTATATTGAACAATCACATCAGGTAAAATATTTTCTCTTATAGGGAGCTATGAAAAAAAAAATTTTTTGTTTTTGATTGCCATAAAAATATTTCATTCGAAAATCCAAGTTTATTAAAAAAATTTATCTTTTGAAACGTCCTCTTTATAAAAATAACGCAAATGTGATTGTGTGTTTATTTTGAAAAAAATTCCAATTTAAATAACAGCGTTTTTTTGGGGGAAAAACCATGCAAAAACCCATCTGTTCAATTTGTACATCGACGGCTTGTGCACCGCCCACCCTCATTATCTGATTTTTGAAAATTATTTTTGGATTGATTTATTTTACTATTAAATAAGGTTAAAAATACAATAAATTTATATATTCCCTCCTTTATTTTAAAAAGGCAAGGCAACCACGCACAGTATTTCGTCAAATTTTTCATAATAGGCGTGACTGTCTTAGTTGTCGCGGTTCCGGAAGGCCTGCCATTGGCGGTTACTTTATCCCTGGCTTATTCTGTTAAGGTGAGTTTAATTTCTTCTTTTCTATATTAAGTATCTTTTTTTCATTAATAAATGCCCGAAATTTATAATCGCCTTTTAGGACGTTATCCGAATTTCGAAATGATAAAATGTAAACCATAATTAATTTAATAGAAAATGATGCACGACAACAATTTGGTTAGGCATTTGGACGCTTGCGAAACTATGGGCAACGCCACTTCCATTTGTTCCGACAAGACGGGCACATTGACCACCAACAGAATGACCACAGTTAGAGCCTACCTCGAGGGTTTATCAATTTTCTTTTTATCACGTTATTATACATTAAAGCTCTTGCCTTGCGCCAGACAATTTTTTTTTCTCTTTATTCCAATCCAAGTATTCTCAATCCTATCCTAGCCAACTATTTTCTTTTAAAACTCCGAACCGAAGTCTACCTTCAGATCTGGAAAAAAAATTTTTAAATTTGAAAATAAAATATTAAATTGAGGAAAAAGTACCATTTATCATGGAAAATTATAAGTATCAGAACCAAAAAAAATAGGCCCATGGACAAAATTTTACCCCAAACCTATCGTATGAAAATTTTAAACGCAAGGTCCTTCCTGGTCAAATCCTAGATTGGTCTGGCTCGGGTGAATTTGCGTGGGACACTAGTATACATTCATACATAAACACATTATATGATATAGTTTATCCTTTACTTAAATTTAGGACTAATTAACTTAGTTTTGTAAGAATATTGATATGCGCCGAACCTCTTCTGGGAAGCTTGCAACCTTGGCCAAATAAATTTTTTTTGTTCCATTCTATTTTTTAGAAAAAAAAATGAAGACTCCAAATTGTCCATATTATTGCGGGCAATAGTTAAAGTGACTAGATTAAGGTGTGCATACATCCATTATTATTTGTTATGTTGATTCTCTTATAAATTAATTTTTTTTTAATAAAAAAACAAGGTATTATACAACCTAAAATTCCCAAATTCGACCAATTAAACCCGGTTTTTGCAGATTTATTAGTCAATGCCATTTCTATAAACAGCGGATATACCTCGCAAATAATAGTAAATAAAGGGCATTTACTTTATGGCCACTTTTCCTAAGGCATTATTGATAAGGCCTTTTTTAGTTTCCATACAAATATTTATATATAAAATAAAGTATAATGTTTTGAATGATTATTATTTAGCATAACATGATATATAACTAATTAATTTTATTTAAAAACATCTCGCGCATAAATTGTCTTTCAATAACATTATTACTTTATTCTACTCCTCTATACAATGCTATAAATGCGGCATTATGATTAAAATCAATAAGAAGATTGGATTTTTTTAAAAATTCTTTGATTCTTTATTTCTTTATCACGGATAATTTTTTGCATAAAAATATATTAACATATTTTAAAGGTAGGAAATGACCCGGGAGAATTACCCAAGCAAGTGGGCAACAAGACTGAATGCGCCTTATTAGGATTCGTAAAAGACATGGGCAAAAGTTATCAAACCGTTAGGGAAGAATGGCCAGAGACCGAACTTTACAAAGTCTACACTTTCAATTCCGCTCGAAAATCAATGACGACTGTCATCAAATTACCCACGCCCGGAAATTCTAAACCAACATTTAGGATATTCACTAAAGGGGCCTCCGAGATTATTCTTAAAAAGTTTGCTTTATATAATATACATATAAGATTAATTGTAATAGTAAATGAAATGCATATTTAGGTGTTCATACGAGTTATAATCCTCGCAACCATTGGAAATCCCTCTTAACCATATAATATTATTAGTTGCTCTATTTTATTTCGATGTAACTAAAGCCCATTTTGACGAAGAGTGACTCATTAAACGAAGCATGATTAAATTAGTCTCTCGACTTGTTACTATAGTTGGGAAATTACTATATTTTAGCCGGAGTCGGCTAAACCAAGTTTTTAGCCGATAACGATCACTTTGGCCTCGAGTTTTTTCTTAAAAAGATAGCAGCTCAAATTTGAAGCAAACTAATATAAATTAAAACGCCTTAATGTTAACGAATTTTCTCTGGCAGGCCCCAGAAGATTTAGCCGACATTTGGCCATAACCCAACTATACGTTGTTACATAAAATATGGGCATGATAAACGATGTATCGCCTAAATATAAGTTACTAATTATGCCATTGGTGTAACCTCAATTATTTCGAGGTAAATTATAATAATTTACAAAATTAGAATTTTACCGTTCATTTTTATTTTTCATAAACAAATTTTAAATGATAATATTTTTTTAGGTGCAAATATTCATTTTCTACTAATGGCACCGTAGTCCCTTTCTCGCAAGCAGATATGGAAAAGACTATAAATAGCGTTATTGAACCAATGGCCGCCGACGGCTTGCGAACAATAGGTAAATCTTATTTTATTTTTAGGTTTCTTTATAATTCAAACACAAAGCTTCTCAAGCCCAATTTGGGGAAAAAAATGTATAAAACGTTTTATGATAAAAAGGTACATTACCCATTCAGTATTCTTGATTTTTTCCCAACACTTATTGTAGCTTTTGCAATATTTGGTTATATATATTATTTTTTCATCATTATTATCAATGATTTGTTTTAGGGTTTTCTTTTTATTACGAGATCTTTGTTTTAAATATAATTGATATATTATTTTCGCTAATGGATTATTATATTTTTTTCTATCAAAAAACATTAATAATTTATTATTTTATTATAAAAAAAATTAATAATTTGAGGTTATAAAACTCGAAGTGGAAAGAAAAAAAAATTCATATATTCTTATTATTCAATAAAGATAAAATACTATTTTTATAAAAAAAAGGTAATCGTCTAATCTATTTTTGTTAAATATAACCAGAAATAAAATAAGGATTTTAATCGCCTCAATTAATATTTGCTAAATATAATAACGAACCTGAGTCATTCGTTTATCAGGAAAGTTTTGACAAAATCATTTAAACCTCTAATTTCTGCCATTCCTGGATTTACCATTCTTTTTACCATAAATTTCATTTAAAATAAATGTGAAATCTTTGAATAAAAATTAGCGATTTGTTATTACTTATTTTATGTAATATACTTAGAGTCGGCTTAAACTTTGCAATTTAAAAATAATTTTAAAATTTAAAGGATTTAAACCCTAATCCTTTCGCAAAGGGGGAGTGGCAATAACAGTTTATTTTCTTAAAACAGCATTTCATAATTTCATGATGATAATTATCCCCTAAATCAATCATTTTTTTTACAACTATTTGTTTTTTCCCCTTTAAAATACTTTACCAAAATTTCTCTCTTTGATAACAGAATTTATATTAACTCAAACGCGAAATAAGGTATCGCCTACAAAGATCTGGTTCCAGCCGGAACTCTTTCAAAGCAAAAGCCGACTGGGAATCAAGAGGAATACTCTCAAGAACTTGATTGGGACAAAGACGACGAAAAAATCTTGAAAGATTTTACGCTGCTGGCTGTTATGGGTATTCAGGACCCTGTCCGACCGGAAGTCTTTTTATATACCATTCATATGTTTTTATTATAATTTTTTAACATTATAATCAGCATTTTAAAAACTTGCATAGTTATATGTTTGGCAAAAAAAATTAACATTTTGTTTTTCTTATAGATAATATCTTTCTTTCTAATTATAAAAAAAAATATTATAAAGGGCCAAGTTTGCCCCAGAAAAATTTTGTTTATGTTAAAGGTCCATCCAAAAGGGAATTTGTAGATCGGGCAACTTGTGCGGGCTTATTTTAGGGCCTGACTCAAAAGCTTTTTCAATTTCCACTAGTCGATTCGGTCTGGGCCAGTCCGCACTTACTTCTAGTTTATGTCATACGGTTCCGTCTTACTGAAAGGGGCAGTTCAGATCGCTCTAAGAGCGGGTAAAATAACTAGATGCCAGTCCTGGTTGAACACCTTTAATTTATGTTTAAGGTTCATGATGAATTAATTACTTTTTTAAATTAAATAAGGTGCCCGAAGCTATAAGAAAATGCCAGAAAGCAGGAATAACTGTTAGAATGGTAACGGGAGATAACGTTAACACCGCGAGATCCATTGCCACTCAGTGCGGAATTTTGCAGCCGAATGATACCGAGTATTTGGTTCTGGAGGGGAAAGAGTTTAACAATCGAATCCGTAATTCCGAAGGACAAGTAATTATGCGAAAAAATAGTTTGTTAAAATTCGGGAGTAGATTTTAAAAAAGCTCCATTCATTATTTATTTCCCAGTCCTATCTGTTGTATTATATTTGGCTCATGTTTTCTCTTGCACTTAAAAAAAATGAAATGTAGGTAGAACAAAGCTTAGTGGATAAGGTGTGGCCTAAGCTCCGCGTGCTCGCCCGCTCATCCCCTTCCGATAAATACGTGCTCGTGAAAGGCATCATAGAGAGCAAGATCAGTGAGAATCGCGAAGTTGTCGCCGTCACCGGAGACGGCACTAATGACGGGCCTGCCCTCAAGAAAGCTGATGTTGGATTTGCTATGGTTTTCATCTAATTTTAATATTGATATCATCAAAATTCATTTCTCCTGTTATAGGTATATTTTATTTAAATTGATTTAACATGAGTCATTCATAATCATTATAGCTAAGTAACTGGCTAAGAATAAGATTCGTTAAGATATCCTTTTTGATTATAAACTTGTTTTTTTTTAAAAAAATACATATTTATCTCCTCACGGTAGGGAATAGCCGGTACAGACGTGGCTAAGGAGGCCTCGGATATTATCCTAACGGACGATAATTTTTCTAGCATAGTGAAAGCCGTGATGTGGGGCAGAAACGTTTATGACAGCATAGCCAAATTCTTGCAATTTCAACTGACCGTAAATATAGTGGCCGTCATCGTGGCTTTTGTGGGGGCTTGCGCCCTTTCGGTATATACCTGTATAAAAAAATTTTAGTCAGGAGGGGGAGGGGGTGCCCATTTTTAATTTAAATTAGAAATGCCAATTTTTTACATACGGATAAAACCTGTAATTACATTTTGAAAAATCTTATCAAATATATTGCTTTACCATGAATAAGGGATTTTTTTTAATATCTAATGTAACGTATATTGGGTTTTAGTATAAAACAATATCTGAGACGTGGAAGTAGTTTTAATGAATAGGCTATGAATAGAGATGTTTGATATACGAAGAAAGTAGATAAATATTTTACAGAGGGTTGTTTGACGAATGCAAATAGAACAAGCGAATGTAGAATGGTCTAAATGGTTTTTTAAAAAATAATAAAAATATATGCGAACATAGGACTCCCCCTTAAAAGCCGTTCAGATGTTATGGGTAAATCTTATAATGGACACTTTGGCTTCACTAGCCTTAGCCACTGAAATGCCCACATCCGAATTGTTAGAGAGAAAGCCTTATGGCCGCACCAAACCACTCATCTCTCGCACCATGATGAAAAACATCCTGGGACATTCGATTTACCAGCTCACCGTCATATTCACTCTCCTTTTCTTCGGTTTTGAATAAATAAAATTACCATTTGTATATTTTATAAATATACAGGTCGAAAGAAATTTTTAATAAGTGTAAGAAGGGACACATAAACAGGCTTTTATCGGGAAGGGAACTGAATGAGATCAGATTTAACAAATATTATATATAAATCCATCTACCAGGCGCACAACTGTTCGACATAGACAACGGGGCCAGCGTGACCCTTCATTCACCCCTCACGCAACACTTCACTATGATTTTCAACACATTCGTCCTGATGACCCTCTTCAACGAGATCAACGCTCGTAAAATTCACGGGCAGCGTAACGTCTTTAAGGGCATATTTCACCATCCCATCTTCTATATAATTTGGATCCTCACCTTCGCTTCACAAGTAAAATCCTTCTTTTTAACCATAATTCTGGAAAATTGAAAACGAAAAGTATGGTTTTTTATTTTAGTCATTTTTTGACTGGCTAAAATCGTTTTATTTAATGGAAGTAAATATAGTTCTTAAAATATTCTTTAATAATTAACCCAATTTTATTTTAATCACTTTCCCAATCATTTCATAGTATTTTATTTTTGCCATTTAAATCCATAAATAATTAACGAATGGTTCATTATTCCTCTCAACTTGTTTCTTTAAAAAAAAAATTTCGCTTTATAACTAACGAATGGTTCATTATTCCTCTCAACTTGTTTCTTTAAAAAAAAAATTTCGCTTTTTCATTTGTTTTTCAGTGAAAACAAACACACACTTTCAGTGTTGAGAAGTATGTCTATTACCCAATTGGTCCCCTAATCATTCGCTATTAATTTTTTTAAAAATTAGAATCCTCATCTGACCTAAATATCATCCCAAAAAATTTTAAAAAATTTTTTATCATAGCCCGAACCAAAATTATTTTAAAAATAGTTCGTACCCCGGGGGGGGGGGGCTCTGCGGATCACTATTTTAAATTAATATTAATTTCCCAAACCCAAATTGTTCTTATCTAGAGTTCGGAATTAAAACCCGAAACACTCGGAACTGGTTCTAACGGAAGTGCAAGTGATTTACATATTTTTTAAAATATTTCGTAATTCATTTTTGAGAGTTTATTTATTCTTTTTAAATTTTTTAATCGGAAGAACTCTCCAAACTAGAGATCTGCAATGGATCGGTTTTCAGTCCGCCCATTCTACCGGCGGGTTTGGGCTGGCTTTGTAAGAGATTTTTAAACAATGGACGAGTGAGTTAAACAAATTTTTATATATAAATCTGCTGGCGGTCTAATTTTTTTTTTAAAAGGGTGGGCTGGCGATAATCTTAAATATTCTAAAAGGGTTAAAAACGCTCGTTACAGACCTTTACTCCAAACCGGTTCAAACTTTAAAAACCGGAACCAGAATTCACAACCCATTTCAAAATTTTTGGATTCTAAACTAGTCTTATCCTGTCCTTTCTTACGTCCTTTATAAATAAATTAATAAAACAGATAGTGATAGTGCAATTTGGGGGATACGCCTTTTCCACTGCTCCCCTGACGCTTTCCCAGTGGCTCTGGTGCTTATTTTTTGGCGTCGGAGAGCTTCTATGGGGCCAAATCGTCACGTCACTACCTACCAAGAGGTTGCCCAAAAAGTTCACCTGGGGAGGTGGCAAGCAAATTATCGAGGAGATCGAGGCCCAAAATTTACCCCACGACATGATGCTAGGTGGGATAGGAGGTCTGGGAGGCGGGCCTGGTGATAGGAGAACCAGTGGTCAGATTCTTTGGATAAGGGGTCTCACTCGCCTACAGACGCAAGTAATATATTTGTATGTGACCCTATTAGTAAGTTTTAAAATGAGATATTGTGTTATCATATATTTTTCTATGGTCTATGAATATTTTCTCCCACATTTTATTTTTTAAAATCTGTTTGTTTTTTTTAACCGGAGTTTCGTAAATGAATATCGATTAGAAATCAATCTAATCTTCTTCGAAGTTGGTAATGTTTTAAATGTTTTTTATATTCGTATTAACCTTATTCCTTATTCGGGATAATTGGATAGCACCGTGTAAAATGCACGCTTCAAATTTTTGAAATATACTATAAATGTGGACCTTCCCATTTCAATTCCTCTAAAAAACACAGATTGGATTTAAAATTTTTGTTATAAGGTAAATATCCATATTTTTGAGATATAACACATCTTGATATGTTTGACTTGTAAATCTTTTAGAGTCTTTGCACGGCCTTACTTTTGTATATATTCAAACGAAGTTCACTTTAAATTCATTTTCACCTTGTCATAATCACGTTTTTAAATGTCCAAAATTTTCTGTATATATTTTTATTTAAAGGCAATTAGAGAGAGTTGCCATCGCTTTGGTAATATTTTATAATTTTAAAAAATATCTAATGTTAAGTTAAAAGGGAACTAATCTGTAATCTTAGGAATTTGGTTTATCAATCAGTAGATTGATTATATGTTTTTTAAAAATATTTATTTTGAACTTTATGAATATTTAAATGATTATTCCTCGCATTTAGCTTGCCATCCATTTAAAATCAAAATTTTATACATTATCTTGTACGAGGTTTACTTATTCCAATTCCTCTGCCTTAATATTATATTACATTTATTATTGTATATTTACTACATGCCAGCATTTTATTTTATCCAATATTATCTGTACGTGTCTTTTTCATATTACCACTCGCTCTACACGTATTAACACACTATGACCCATCATATATCCCTCCAAAAAAAATATCCACTACTTTCTATAAGTTAAGGGTAGTTAACGCCTTCAAGAGTAACCTGGAAGATTTGGAAGAACGTAGAAGTGTCCGAAGTTTTTATAGCATGAGGCCATCACGTAATTCTTCCTCCCACACTCCCCTTCATCCCCTCTCCTCTGCGACTGCCAAAAAACAGGCTTTTGGAACGGGTGGTGGAAGCCGCCCCACCTCCGCTGATATAAGTTTCATTGACGAGGCTCCACTTTCCTCAAACTCCCTGTTTCCCCTCTACGAGGAATCGAGCGCCCCAGCTCAACGCTATGCCGACCGCAACCGCAATAAAAATAACAATAATTTTAACGGCCAAATATCTATGGACACGAATAGAATGGAAGCAGGAAACTGCAGAAATGTATCAGGTGGCGGAGGCGACGCGGAAAGACGTGAGCCCGGGAGAGCTTACCTAACCATGGTCACTAAAGGGGGCATCGCTGAATCTGTTTTGCCTCTCGTTACCAGACTCAATACCACTACCACAACTAAGATGTGATTGGAGAAAAAGCTGCTATGTGTTGTGTTATAATATAAGAATGAAGCGCGAATTTCTATTTTAAAAAGAAAATAATGATGAATATTAAGAACAAGCATTTTATGAATGATAAAAGGTTGTATAAATATTTTCAATTACTATTAAATAATAATCATTATAGCTAAATCATCATCTGCCGTAGTAAATGAAATTCATTAGATATGAATAAAGGTCAGGCATTTTGTGATTTTATCTTAAAATCTTTCTTGTAGACTTAATTTTTTTTTATATAATGCTTTTAAACAAAATCTAATGACTGTACATTTAACATCCTCTGATATATCCATATATGGATGGGTGCGTTGTATTACTTTATTTATTTCGAATAATGTACAATACTTTTAGAATGTGATAATTTAATTAGCTATTGTTTTTAAAATTATGATTATGGAATATAGTAGACATCCTTTTATATATATACACAAACTTTACCTTTTTTTTCTTCTTGTCAATAGTTAAATCACACTTGCCCCAGTAATCTGCATGCATTTGTCAACAACATTCATGATGTATATAAATATTAAATCATTTTCAGAACTGAGCTTTTCAGGACATTCATTCGTCTTTTTTTGTATATCGAATATATTAGATTTTCTTGCTTATATTTATCCCATCCACCCGACACCAACCTTTTATTTTATTAATAATTCAATTCACGTAGAGACAATTAATAGCTGTTATTAAATTTTTTTTTAAAATGTTTGTCTTGACCGTAACATTATTTAATAGTTTCTGCATAGCCCCACTTCCTCTGAACATAACAAAAAATCAAACTGTTTTTAGGAGAAATTTTATCTCTAGAAAAATTGTAGCCGCAAAAATAATGTAATGTACATAAATACATATTTTATACGTATATTTTTTTATATAATTTTGTTTATATTTGGCAAAATCAAATTTTTGAAATTTTTTTTTTGCGCTGATAACTAATATTTTATTATTAATAATTTTGTATTCTTGAATTATCAAAAATATGTAAGGAGCCCCCTCCCTGGCATCGCTTTTTATAATAATTATGTTGGTTTCTTTTTTTAAAAAAAAAATAAAATACATTTTTAATTAATATTATACAATTTAAAAAAAAAAAGATGTACATTTTCAAATGTAATAATAATTGGCTTTATATATATAAAATTTCTCACTCTTTTCCTCGCGAAATTATTTTTTAAATAATGTTTATTATTTTAAATAAAGTTTTTTTTTAAAGAAAACATGTATATTTTTAAGAAAAGTCTTCATAATTTTTTTTTAGTAAGAAAAATTTATATTTCAAATAAAATATAAAAATTAAATTATTTTAAAAAAAAATTAACCTTTTTAAAACGAAGGTGATAGGAGGTACTAGATCTGACAGTATAATTCCTGCCTCTGCTAGCAAGAATCAAGTAGATCAAGCTGTAAGATCTTTTCATAATTCTTCTTCAAAAAAAAAATTTACACAAATTAATTACTTTTGCTAACAAAAACAAAATCTTTCAGCCTTTATTTTGTTCCGATTTTTTTTGTGATAACATTGTTTTATTTAATATATATATAAATTTTTTGCCTTTCTTTCCTTGGTGATTCTCTTGTTTTTCGTTGCTAATTTTTTTTTTATTATTATCTAGCGATCGGCTTTTTTTTATAAAAAGAGGTCTTGCCAAAAAATCTAATAGCGTTGAAATCGTGAGGTAGCTCGATTCTGCTTAATCATTTTTTTTTTAATTTAATGTCATATTTTTTTTTTAGTGACGATCAACTAAGCCGGTTCAGACGACTTCACATGCCGGAAAAAAAATCCAAAAATAAAGGAAGTCGGGCTGCATTCAGATCAGGCTTTGGAAACCATTTGGGAATTACTTATTCTTGTCCACCGAACTGAAAGTAACTATATTCCATACGGTTTTCCAAACACTCGGTCCAAATACATCCCCGACCACATTACTTTTGAGAAATAATTTTGATTGTGAAGAAGTTCGAAGCGGTTTCAGTTGATCTTTTACTATTTCACCCTTTAACACTTATCTTTTTTTCCCGTTTATATGTTGGTAATAAATACTATATAATCTATTAACATTTCTTATTAACAAAAAAATAGTAATAATGAGACAAGTTTCTAATTTATAAAAAGAAAAAATTAGCATGTATATTAAAATAACAGCGAGGGACTATTGGTTATTAAATCGGGTTAAATAATATTAAATTACCCAAAAAAACGTATTAGTTCTTGTAGTGTTTGGGTATATTTTTTAAAAAAGAAATGACGCAAATATAAAAACTATTTTTTGTGTGTGTGATCTTTGCATGAAACTTTTCAAAACGCAGTGTATAACAATTATGAGGCGTCCTTAATCAGCATGGTGTAAAAATAAATAAATAATTTAACTAATTATGTCACGGTTTAAAATCAAATTAATAACTGTATAATTTGTATGAGTTTTGCCTTTTGGGGTGAATTAAAATATTTTGGAAATGTATAGTTTTATGTGTTGTTATGGCGTGCTCTTTTGTACATGTCGTCTTCCTCCTTCTAACATAAATAACATGCGTGAAAAGCTTTGTTCGATATTGACTTATGTGAATCTCTCAAATACTTTTTTTTTAATTTTATTTTTTAAAACATCATGTTTATTGTAATAATTATATTTAATAAATAACATTTGTTATATTATTTGCTATTTTATATGATACCATATTTTAACCAAAATTGGATCTTCTCCGTTACTCAACTCAAATCCCAAATAATGATGATAATCAACAATATTCTGGCGGAAAAAAAACTGAATTCTCTTTTTTTCAAAATTTGCGTGCAAAATTCTTTTAAATTTTAAATGTTTGCTTCCATCTAAAACTTCACGAATCGACTTAATTATTACGAAATTTCACAATTTTATTTACAATAAATTAATTCACGGATACTCAAAAAAAATGATTGGCAAAAAAAGATGAGAGTAGTTAGCGCCTTCAGAGGTAGCAGAACCTTCGGCCGGCTTGACCAGTTCCCCCACGAGAGAACGACCGGAGCACGTGACAGTCCTTCCCTTCATTCGTTGCTCTCTCAACAACCACACCAAAAAGTCAGGGGCTTTAAGTCAGCCATCCCCGTGTCCCATATATCCGCCCGTCGTCTTTCACCGCCTAGGGAGCAGGCCGAGTTTAACGCCAAAGCCTTCAATAGTGCAGAAACGGCCGTTTAAATATGGAAAGAAAGAAAGAAGAAAAAAATCGAATGTTAAAAAGTTAAGATTCTGTACATTTTTTATTGTATGTTATAGAAAAATGGATACGTAATATATATATATACCTAAGAATTTTTTGTAATTTAAATTTAAGATTGATTATTTTTAATTCTTTTTACATTGCCTCAACGAAGATAACGAAGTTGAAAACGGTTATTTATTGAATTCTTCATTTATTCTAGGCATTCATTTGAGTTAGCAAACATCACTTACGTCACATTTTTAATATATCATTTTGGCTCCAATATACTTATATATTTTTTTTAACAAAAGAAGTGTGAACCTAAAGTAATAAACGCGATTTTTTCCTGATTCTAATCATTTATATATTGACGCCGATTGTGAATTTTTTTTTTTTAAATAACAAATTTTGTCTTCTTTGAAGTAAATAAGTTAATCTTAATCTTTTATAATTTCAATATTTTATTTTTGTACAGTTATCTTCAATATTTTATTTATGATTATGAACACGGTGATTTTCAAGCTTAGAATTTCTCCTCTTTTTTTGCGATTAAGTTTTTATAAAATATGAACCGGTAATAATTATAATTCCAAAAACCATTTTCTTTTATACTATGATTTCAACCTAGGGAGATTAGTTTAATGACTTTATTAGTTTTAGTATCAGCTATTTTTAATAATTACAAATCATGTTAGATTTTTGGTAAAATTTAATTTCTATAAGATCTATGAAAGGTTTAAAGCTCCGAAAATTATGACTTTCATCTGTATTTAGCTTTCTAAACATTAATTGTGATTGAGTAAATATTAAATTATATCATTTATTTATTCCTATTATTTTATTTTGTTTTCAAATTTAATATAAATCTTTCTACCCTTGCCCATTATTTATTATCATGAATATTATTAACGCTTCGTAAAATCCTTAATAATTATTTTTCGACTCAATATTGTTTCGTTCTTTTATAAAATATTATAATCCGTCATTTATAGTTAGCGCGAATTATACAAAATATGCTATATAATTTGTATTCATCGCCGCTAATTCGTGCTAACTGTGAATTGAAAGGTAAATTAGAAAAAGCTATTTTTTAAAAAAAAATTTATTACAATTTAATGACCTTATAACTTTATCTCGAAGCTATACCCCTTTAAGTCTGTTTTTTTTAAGAGTCCCCTTTTTAAATTTATCGACGTTTCATTTCCCAGTACACAATGATTATTGTAATAATTGTAACAATATAAATTTTTATTTTCCTTCGATTTTGTATATTTATGATAATGACTTATGTGTAAAAAAAAATTTTACCTTGAGTTTTTTTTTAGAGACTAATGAAATTGCTTTTATGTTTTTTTTACCACTCTATATACATAAATTATTAAAAATTGAAATTTATCAAAAAAAAATATGGCAATTTGATAATATGTTCCACCTATTCTGCTAATTCCTTATTGATTATCGAGTTAAAACTGCATGATGTGTAATTTTGATTACCCAATGACGATTTAGTCACTTCTTTCCATGATTTGTCCGTCAACAGCACTCATTGTTAGTTAATAAATAATTCTACGTAAATTTGGCTTGGCTATCTTCATCAACCATCATTTCATCTTTTATATGTATTTTAAAAATTGATTGACTAATTACTAAAAAAACGATTTTTAAATGCTAAATTATTTCAAGGTGATCACTTTTTAAATATGTATCCAATTTAAAGTGAATACAAAAGATTACACATCCAATTGGTTTTTTTTATCGGTCTTACTTTGTACGCGGAAGCATAAATGAAATTTTAATGATCTTTATGAAACATCGAATTAAGTAAAATCTTTTTTAAAAAAAGTAGGAAAACCGGCATTAGAAATCTTAATCAGAAATTTTATGTAAATATATAAGACAAGGAGCGAGCTGACTAGGTGCTTAGGGCTCCACGAGATTCTTCTTCAATGATAATGCTACCTAGACGATTCATTCATTTAAATGTATATCAATACGAATTAGCGCTTTATGCGCTATTTTTGTGCCGTGCAAAAAATTTGCATTAAAATTTAATGGTAACTTTTCGAATGACCAGATTTGTATTCTTATTGCATTTTAATGAATAAATCAGCAGTCGAGGTGAAGTATATATCATTGGTAACTTTTCACTCGGGCCTAAAAGATAACCACACTGCCAGCTTTCGGTCTGCTCCTTATTGTGTCATGTGTCAGCAAGTGATAAGTTTATTTGATAATTGTATGCCTCCTGTTTAATCGTTTCTATTCGGCTAGCTGATATTTAAATAAAGCCAGAAAGGATGGGCTTAAATTTATGTGGGAAATGGAAAATGACCCTATTTTCATAGTCGCTTTTTGTTAATAAAATTATTACATTTTATATCACCTAGAAAAGATTGTGTAAATTAAATTACCAATAAGACTGCACTAGGACCAGCATGTATGATTAAGCCATTATTTGTGTTTACTATATCTTTTTTTAAAGAAAATTATTAGTTAGTATAAATATATTTACTTCATTCGTTTGATTCGCCCAATTTGGATGAGCATATACGTTGTCAATACCCCTTGGATGATTAACCGGAATATATCATTAACAAAAATATTTGCATAATCTGATGTAAAAAGAAATATGTTTTAAAAATTTGTTAAGAAGATAATTTTGATTTTCTTATAAAAAAAATTTTATCAAAAATGTTTTTTCTTCTGATGATATAGTACTCAATATATTAATAATCATAATCTAAGCCATCATTAACTTGATTTTGAAATCAAGGAGGAATAACAATTTTAATAACATCCCCTGGCAAGCATAGCCAAAAGATTAGCAGAAAGTGCTACTTTACCATATTAAAAACTTTGATTCATTTAATTTTTATAAAGCAAATATGACTGGAATTAATTATACATATGTAATAGGTGATGAATATGAAAAAATATCTTGTTCAAAACGCCAAACTCAATACCAGAATATAATAGTTTATGCTA